GCACCTAGTAGCATGATATTTAGTAGGAATAAAGACTTCTGAGTTCTGGTGCATTTCTGCGTGCGGGGGTCATTATGTTACCGCTATGCGGTATTTAGTTATTGATTACAATGATTTATTACGTATTTGAAATAAGGACTAGGAGAAAAAGGCTGATTAATATTGCCAAACTGGTGACTTGACCTCCTCGTTTATATACGATTTCCTCTTGAGCTGAAGCTTCATTTTCTCCTTTGGCTTCACTTTTTTTTCCCCAAGCAGTTATGAGACACAGTGGAGAAACACGAAACTGCGTATGTTATTCAACATGTTGTTAGCTGGCCAAAGAGTGAGGTTGTTAGCTGATGCTACCAACCTTGCTTAGCTGGGTGGTGAGAGGTCAAGCAGCTAAAGCCTTTCCTCTGCCCCCATCCCCCAGAATGCCGTGTGGTTCTGGATCTGAGAGCAGTGAAATTATCAACGTTCTATTTGACAGATTTTCCTTTTAATTATGGTTCCAAAGATATATTATTGTTTTCACAACACTATACTGTGAACTGTTAAAATAATTCAGTTTGGAGATGTTTTAGCCTAAATGTGTTGCAGAGTAGAAACAGAACAAACATTTTTTTTTGTTTATGGCTAAACGCAGTGTCCTTTTCTTTTACCCCTTGACATTTTAAACACCTGCTGATGTTTTTTTTCTCATTTTCTCAAAGGGCCTACTATTCAGCAGGAAGAGGAGCAGATGAACTGTGGTGGTGCAAACTCTGACCCGAGTCACAATGCCATTTTGCCACAGGTAAATAAATGGTGTCATCCTGACAGGACAGAACTGGGAGAGCAGCAGTGTTCGTGATGAACTGCTGAACTTTTTTTATTTATTTTTCTCCTGATTGTGTGTTTGTTCAGGATGCAATAAACGGTGAAGAGGATTTGAGTGAGGAAGAAAAGGCCCGACAGAAAGCAGAGCGACGGAAAGCCAAGAGGAAGGTTGGCATTCAAATAGCTGCCCCACCCCCCTGTTCAGTCTGTTTAGCTGTATCTGATGGGTAACGATCTGCCTTTTCCCTCATCTGTTTCAGCGCCGTCGAAATCGTAAGAAGCAAGAACAAACTAAGCAGCACGACAGTGTTGAACGCGTAAGAATTGTCTTCATTACCTGAAGTTCAGAGGTGATAATTTTCTTGCTCATGTGTTTATGAGTTCGTTTGTCTCCGTTCTATCTACTAGCAAAATATCTTATGAACCACTTCATAGATTTGAATGCATCTCTCAGAAAGCATTCACCTGATGGAGATAACTTTATTCAAGATGGCCACCACAGCTAATCAGCTTTAGCATGTACAAGTATGCACTCAACATTTTAGTATTTATACTGTGCAGAGTTAAATATATCTATATGATCCTACAGGACGACGAAGAGGAAGATGGTGGTGCAGAGTCGGAGCTGGACGAGAGCGAGTCGGAAGCAGACGTCGGTGCTGAAGAGGAGAAACAAAGAGCACAAAAACAGGAGAAAAGTAATGATGCAAAACCAGCTGCTCCACAGAACTATGTTGCCATACCTGTCCTAGCTCTTGTAGAAATGAAAGGGTGCCAGAAGACAAAAGCCAGATCCACTGAAGAGGTACGGAGGCTGTRCTGGTGTTTTACGCATCTCCTATTACTATTATAAGATCTTGAATCAGCTTGTGTGGTCTTTTTCTCCATTAAAGCCTCAAACCTGACAGCAGTGTTTTGCTTTTTGTGGTCCACAGGAGCCCGAGTGGGATGTGAGCAGTGCCTTTTTTGCTAACGCTGCTAGCCATATCAAACCCAAAGGATCAAGTCGCAAGTCCAAAGAAAACAAAGAGAACGAGGCCAGGAGAGAGGTGAGTGAAAGATGGAGGAGCAGCAATAAGCTGTTTTTGTCTTATGGCAACAATGAGTAGGTTGCTTTCACATGTAGATGGAGGGTAGGAAGCTAAATAACAGAGGTGTTTTGTATAGTTTATGACTGCTTCAACCGTTTTAACCAAGAAAAGGTGTATTATTGAGTACTAAAGGTTGTTAAAGATGAGAAATGTAGAAAGCTGACAGAACAACGCTGTAAAAAGTGGATTTTAAACCTATGTCTGCCATCAGGAGGAGCAGAGTCTGGTATGTTGGCTAGCTACCTTGCTTTTTGTGTCTGTTTATAAAGCATTAGGTTGTTGTAAAATGCTCATTTACATAGTCACTAAGTTACTGGTAGTCTAATATGGACTTCACATAGCGTTTTTAGGCTTCCCTGGCCATTGTGTGCCGTTAGGTGTTGCAGGTTTTTTGACATTGTAGCCACTACTGCTAGCATCTTAGCATATAAACCAATATTAGAACAAACACTCACCCTGGCCAAAACCAAAGGATAATCATTGTGGACCCATTTGGTACTGAGGTGGTGGACCCACCCCCTTACAAAAGTTATAAACCTCCAGACTTTTATAGGCTTTCTTGTGCTGTTAGGTGTATTAAGATGTCCGAAGGACCAGATAGTTTGTGATGCCGACAGCCTCRATTGTTGGCACATCTTTAGGTTTTGACAAATACTTTCATTTTCATGAGATATGGGTCATGCCCAACGTAATTGTGAACAAATTGTCAATATCTTTGTCTTGAAACTGGGTCTAACCCTAACCGTACATCATCAAAACCATGTGACTGAAACCCAGCTAGGGCTGCAACTAATGACTGATTTGATAGTGGACCAATCTGCCATTTTTTTCCAATTAGTCCATTAGTCAACAATTATTTCAGTCACAATGTCCATCTATGCTTCCTGTGAGCGCACCTCCTGTTCCAGTCCCAGTGCACATCTCATTTCACCTCATGTACCTGTGAATATCACCCTGTTATCCAGTCCCTCTACTTTAACATAAAAAGTAACGTTTACATAGCAAATAAAAAAACGTAAACTTATGAATTTAAACTTCAAACTTAATAACTTACTTAGATGCACTTTATCATTAATACATGTAAACCTAATAAAAAGGAAGTTATACAAATTAACCTGCAAGTAGTCTTTTAAACAAACAGCTAATGTTCATAGCAGCATCTCCCCCAGCATTAGGGGCTATTAACCTGCCCTGCTGCAATTTGGCTACAGCATGAAATAAGTCATTGAAAATAAGATCTATAAGTAATCAACCTAAMGAACAATCTAACTTTCTGAAACTTACCCACATGGAGACGATAATCACAGCTCCAGTGTGTTAGTGTTGATCGTGTAATTACTGCCGCTGTGCTGTCATGGAATGACAGAGTCTGCGTTTTACATTTTTGGTTGATTTTCAGTAAAATGTAGCCATCTTTAGAAAGATTTTTTTTCTTTTCTCTTTGATGCACTTGTCTTTCTGTTCCACCATTATTACAGCTCTTTGATGTTCCCGCTGCATTTTCTGCTTCTACGGTTTGCAGGCCAGGACCTCTTGTTCTTTTGTAAACAATGCAGCCACAGACAATAGAAGTGATTCTGCCCTCAGCAGTTCATGAATTGCATTGCAGTTACAAATTACCATCCTGTGGGTAAATAATACGATGCAACGACATTAAAATGACAGTCGACTAATTTTTCGAATCGACGTCGTTGATTCTGTTAACTACCGTATTTTTCGGACTATAAGCCGCACCGGACTATAAGCCGCACCCGCCATTAAAAAAAAACCCCCGCGAACATTAACATATAAGCCGCACCGGACTATAAGCCGCACCCCCAACATAAAAAAACAGTACACCCAAATTTGTCGTCAAAAAAGTGAATTCAACATCAAAACACAAAAAGCAAACTTTTAAGAATTAAAGTTCGGAGGAAAATGGTTCATTTAACTGACCTTATTTTGTTAGTTTTCTTTAACAGTTTCTGGTCCAACAAAATGTCTCATTCATCATCCTCTGGYGCACTGAAACCATCGAAGTCCTCCTCCAGTATCGGAGTTAAACAAGCTGAGAAAAGCTGCGTCACACAGCAGTATCTGTTCAGTGTTACTTTCTGTGTTGCTGTCCTCCCGGGGTAATGCTGGCTCTGAAGCTGTGGTGTCCTCTTCATGTAGCAGTCCAGCCTTACGGAACCCATTGGTGATGGTGGACTCATTCACTCTGCTCCACGCTGTTAGAATCCACTGTCAGACATCAGGAAATGACGCTCTTCGCATTCGGCCTGTTTTTGTGAATGATTTATCCCCGTCAGTCATCCAAGCCTCCCATTCASCCCTGAGTRCTGCTTTAAATGCACGATTCACACTGATGTCCAGGGGTTGCAAAAACTTTGTTGTACCTCCAGGAATAACAGCAGGAATTGAGTTTGTTTTCTTGATGGCTGCTTTCACCGAATCTGTGATGTGGGCCCGCATACTGTCCAATACCGTGTCTGTCAAAGATCCGTCGTGTCGTGTCTGCTACTAGCTAAAACAAAATGGCGCTACACCTCTGACTAAGCTGGCAGTATGGTAGCTCAGCTGTCGACCGGTCGACGCACCGTCACGTGATTGTTCGGCGTTTGTTTTCGCACTGAACTTTCATAGTTCCCCCAAGAAACCCAGGGCCCAGCTGCTGCGAAAGCCCTCCCGCTCCAGCATACGTCACTGCATGGGATTCCTTCCCCGGGGAGTGCAATGCTGAAAAAAAAAAGTCAGCGGCTCTTCACTCGACGTTTATCCACAAACTGGTTAAGCTCCAAAGTTTTTATCAGTCAGATTCCACCGTGAAAAATGTCAGTTTTATCCCCTTTTATGAGTTTTTGGCCATTGACTCTCTTTAAATTGCTGCTTCCTGGTACAACAGTTGGCTCTGGAAGCGATCGCTTTTTTTTCTTTTTTTGAAGCGAGTGGTTGAAGCAAATGGAGCATAAGAGCCCCCTGGTGGCTGAAGAAAAAAATCCACGAATAAGCTGCACCGGACTATAAGCCACATSGTTCAAAGTTCAGGAAAAAAGTCACGGCTTATAGTCCGAAAAATACGGTAATCATTGCATCCCTAAATCCAGCTATTCGGTTGTTGGATCTAAATTGGCTGTGACATTCATATTCTTCAAATACAAAAAGTAAAATAAAACATCTTTATATTTAATAAATTTGGCATAATATACTGTACATGATTTTACCCATTTTTGTCACATAAACTGGCATATTTACTTCTAAATTTGGCTCAGCTAAAGTGAAACAGGAAGTGACATTAAAGAGGAACTCTCTAAGAAAGAAAACCCCCTGGTCTTCATTTACTGAAACAATATGATTAGAACTCCTACTCTTCTTGATCTCTCTGATAGACTCAAATAATCTAAAAAAAAAACCCCATCAAATTCTTCTCTACAGTCTGTTTTCAGACGTTGTATCAACACTGTTCACATTCAGAAATTTCCCTTTGACATCACTTCCTGTTACCTTACGTGCAAATATCTTAACAAATTTTCATATCAGCGGCATAAACATTTTTTTGCAGCATGTTATCAATGTTACCTTTCCAAAAATTAATTCATATTTCTTACAAAAAATTTGATGTCACTGGCACTTTAAAACTTTTAATACTACCACATGTGTACACTGCAATCTGTTGATGAAATAATAACAAGATAATTTCATTAACAGACCAATGGTACAGACTCCATGACCAAGAAAAGTGCATCACTTACAGGTAAGGAATAATTTCTGCTGACTGCGCTATGTGACAAGCCTTTAAATAGATTTTTCTTTTAAACATAAAGGCTTAAAGAAGATGCTGATTCCATATTATCTTAAGGAACTCTGTTTATATTGTATAATACAATAATTGTTCCACACTTGATTTACTGTATTGAAGTCTGGGGTAAAACATGTAAAACAATCTCAAATCCTATTTTCATTTTACAGAAAAGAGCAGTAAGAATTATCACCAGAAAACATTACAGTCACCCTTTGAATATATTATTTTGTAAATTAAAATTATAAAAACTTTACGAGTTGGTTGATTATAATATCTTGCAGATTATGTATAAGGCTCATAATTTTTTTAACTTTAAACATCCAATTATATTTTGTTAAGAGAGAAAGTTTTTATAATCTTAAAGGACTTGAGATGTTTATTAATCTTAAAATTCAAACAAACTTGAAGGACTGCTGTACTTCATACAACTCTAGCTGACGGCTTTTTTTTTATAATATCTTGCAGATTATGTATAAGGCTCATAATTTTTTTTAACTTTAAACATCCAATTATATTTTGTTAAGAGAGAAAGTTTTTATAATCTTAAAGGACTTGAGATGTTTATTAATCCTAAAATTCAAACAAACTTGAAGGACTGCTGTACTTCTGTTCAAAGAATAAGATTGTGGAATAATCTGGAAAGTGATTATAAAAATGTCAGTTCATTGTACTGTATTTCTTTAAGAGAAGGACAAAAATAAGTTTGTTAAAGAAATATTAATTAATGTATATCAAAAGTTGTTTGAGAAGGAAGTGAAGCTTTTCTTTTGTTTTGTTTCTTGATTATTATTGCTTGAAATTAATTATGGAAAAAAGGGGCAGATATAAGATTTTTTCTTCTTTCTGCCTCCTTTCATTTTAATTTAATTTGTATACTTTTTTTGTGTACATGTTGTGTATATCTTTTGTTTTTAATGTGTATAAAATTTTTGGTTTTAAATTAAATGAATAAACAATTTAAACTAAAAAAACTAAACTAAACTCCAGTAAGAAAGAAGGTTTTGTGTTCTGTGATTACCCCTGAGGAGGTCTTACCTCCAGGATGCGGACTTCCCGAGCCTTCTCACTGAGGCTGTTCTTGCCGGCCTCCACCTCTCCCTCCAGGTGGCGCAGTCTGTTGGTGAGCAGCTCCTTATCCAGCTGGTGGTTGTCTCTCTCCTCACACACAAGCTGGAGCTCCCTCTTCTGTCGACACATCTGGGCAGAGAAATGAAGAGTCATCAGAAACACTGAGTCTTATTTGTGTGTCTCAGAATGTGGCCACGCACTTCCTCCTCCAGTCGTCTCAGGTTTAAACCGTTTCGTTCCAGCTCAGATTTAGCGTCGCTCCCGTGACGTTGGGCCTCCTGGACCTCCTTGCGTGTTCGTTCTTTCTGCTCCTCCAGCTGAGCCCTGAGAGCCTGGATCTCCTCTCTGGAGGCTGCGCTCAGAGTGTCGTACTGACAGGGAGACGGAGGGCAGTTAGCCACACAAACAAACAAACCAACAAAAAACAAACAAACAAAGCAACCAACCAACAAAGCAACCAACAAACAAAGCAACCAACAAACAAAGCAACCAACAAACAAAGAAACAAAGCAACCAACAAACAAACAAACAAAGCAACCAACAAACAAACAAA